GTCAGACTCCTCCTTCTCCTCCTCCTTGGCGGCCTCGGGAGCGGCCTCAGCCTCAGCGGCACCGCCAGCGGCAGCAGCACCACCGGAAGCGGCGGCGCCACCGGCACCACCAGAGGGAACGGAAGCAAGCTTCTCGGAACCGGAGGCGATGAGCTCGTTGATGTCCTTGCCCTCAAGCTCGGAGATCAGCTTGTCGAGACGGTCAGAGTCAGCCTCGATACCGACGGACTCAAGGACGGCCTGTTGCGTTGTTAGAACGTGGTATAGCGAGTTGTACTGGACGATTCCTTCTTACCTTGACATCAGCGGCGGAGGGGGAGGTGTTTCCACCGAGACCGAGAAGGAGGTATGCCGCGAGGTGCTTCATTGTGATTGTTGGGGTGGTTTGTCTGGAACAGGAGTTCAATCGATTTAACCTGCGCTTGTCAGTATTGCGCTGCTAGATGCGATTCCAAAGTGGTGCGTACCGTCGGGGCCGGAGACTGAAGCTACAAGTTCTTCTGTAGGTTGTCGTAGAAAAGAAAAGTTCGAGGTCCGCGAATATTGACTTCGGGTGGGATCTCGCTACCTGGGCTATGCCGCAATGCGACTAGCGCAAAACGCCCGCCTTGTCACGTGTCCTTGGGCTAGGCGCAAAGCCATGTATAAAAGCGACTTGTCTGCGCCGCCGCCGACCGCTCATTCTCTGGCCGCTCCCCTCTTCAATCCACGACCGGTCCCGTGCGCCCATCCTCCTCTCCGCGCGCGTGATCAGTCATCGCCGACTATCGACACCGGCGAATCTCACCCGGAAAGCATGTACAACTTGTCCTCCAATCGATTTGACGACCGGTAGCCTGAGTCAAACGCTTATCAGTTGCCCATCATGAGCGTGAGTCTGGCGACTCCATCCCCACCAGCAGTCGTATGCTGACTGCATCATCTAGTCTCTCAAAGACATCATGTCTATAATCGACCGTACGGGCGCGAAGACGCAGGCGACGGTTTCGAAGCAAGGCCCACCCCCCGGAGCCCCTAGGCCAGCGCCGCGACCGATCGGAGGGGCAAGTAGCGCCTCGCAAACCCCCCAGCTGAAGCGCAAGGCCTCAGGTCCAGTCGAGAGTACACAGGTCAAGATCCAGCGGAAAGAGGCTGTCGGGGGATCAGCGCAGGCAAATGGTGCCGTGCGCGCCACCTCATCGCCTGCCACGTCGAAACCAGCTCCGTCCGCATCTACCACCGCCGTCCCGTATCGTGGCACTGCTGCACCAGCATCCTCAAAGCCGGCGAATCCCCCCGTGCGAAAACCTCTACAGTCGTCAAACGCACCCGCTGCCAAACCGAAGGCTGCAGCTCCTGCACCCAAGCCTGCGCCCACCGCCACCGCCTCAACACCCGCCTCGTCTGCCGCACCCAAGAAAGGATATCTCGCTATGCTTCAGAAGGCGAAAGAGAAGGACTCAACGAAGCCTATCGCCCCACCAATCAAGCATGAACCAACAAAGATCCTTACACGTAAAGAACGCTTGGCACTCAAGGCAGAAGCAAGTGCCGGCGCAAAGGGCAAGAAGCCCGTCGCTGGATTACCCTCAAGAACAACAGACCCGAAAGCCGATCCATCGAAAGACAAGAAGAAGGCTGTCGAAGTTGGTTATCAAGGCACAGCACGACCTGCCAAGAAGCCTGTTGAGGTTGGCTACAAGGGAACCGCCCGTCCAACAAGCGCACCTGCAACGTCTAGTCGAAACGGCACACCAGCCGTCAAGGCCAAACCGAACCCAGGCAAAGGACGATATGACGGTTACGCAGACTGGGACGAGCTTAGTGAGATGGAGGACGAAGAAGAAGACTATGCCTCTGACGCTTCTTCTGATATGGAGGGCGGTATCTGGGACGTAGAAGAAGAAGAACAGATAGCACTCAAGGTTGCTAAGAAGGAAGACGCGGAGGCACTAGCGGAGGAAAATCGGTTGAAGCGTGAGAAAGAAGAACGTAAGAAGAAGTTGGCGGCTATGGCTGCCAAGGCGAAGAAGAGGTTTTGAGGTTCTTCGGCGTTACGGTTTACGATCACACGGCATGGGGGCGTTTCATCTGCATTCTCGCGGTTGCATAGCCATGGAGCGGTTTCTTCTTTTTTCATGGCGCATTTACGGTTGTTGCATACCCGGAAGAACGATCATGGCTTCACAGTAAGCATCTCGCTGCAAGAGATTACAATGCAAGTAGTGTATATTTATAACGCCGTCGGCAATAATACCTTCAGGCTCCAACATATCACGGTACCCCTCTACTCCGTTCCAACCTTACCGCATGGATTGTGCTCTGTATGTGTTGTCCCTTCCAAACCATCGATATCACCTTTGCCGAGGATCAACGTGTCCAGATATTACCATGGCCACGCACCGCTCTGCGATTGCATTGAAGCGAATGTTCAGCCAGCGCGTTCACAAACGCCCCTTTGTCACAACCGAGCACATGGAACTGCCAAACAGCCCAGCATGTATCCTCACCATCGACCACTCCTGTCCTGATCTCCTGTCCAGTATCTCCGCCACCTAACTCCCAGTATCAGAACCACGACGATGCCATCCTTCCAGCGACTCAAACACCCATTCCGACGCCCAACTCATTATTACACGATCCATGAGCCGTCCCCTACACCGAGGCAGCTAGAGACACAACGCGAGAAGGAGAGGCAAAGGGCTCTCGACAAAATCGAGAATGACCTCGATGACGGACGTATTGGGCCCAGAAGTGGTGACTCGCCTGACGAACTTCCGGTGATCATCGATAGGGGTCCATACCGAGGCCATATATACCCGCGAGAGCAGCTCTTCTTCAACAGCATCATGCTGGCTTCGGACGTTGAACCAATATACGCTGGTCCGCCAGGTGGAGAGCTTCGGCAGGAGGTGCATAGGACTCCAATCCGGCGTCCGAAAACACAAGCTGAGCAGAAGCTCCCTCCAAGACCCGTACCGAGTGAGTACTTGACGGCCTCACAGAACAGAGAAAATCTGAGGAGGTGGGAAGAGAAGAACAACAAGTCTGCTGCGGCTGGACAAACACAGCATCCAAGGCCTGTACCGAGTGAGTATCTGACTTCCGCACAAAATACGGAGAATCTTAGGCGATGGGAGGAGCGGAGCGGCAGGACTCCTACTGCGAGGCGAACACAGATTCCAGAGCGGCGGCCTTCTCCTCCAGGACAACCATCTCCACCGAGGGCGCCGATCACGCCAGGTACTAGTGAGTGGGATGGCTTCATGGACTTCCCTTCAGGTAATCATCAGTCGGGCGATCCTGGTGTACAGGCTACTGTAAATGAGTCGAGCGCATCACACAGCCTGCCGGCAACGACAATTCCCGCAGCCCGACTGCACCCAACAGCTCCGCCTCAGACTACTGTTGATCCGGCATTGCAGACGGATCCACCTGTCCCGCTAGTTTCAGCAGATTCTGTGAATATGCAAGCTCGAGCGGAACCTTCGACAGAACTGCCAGATCGTTTCTCAGGCCGGACCGAGCAGTCTGAACTACTAACATGGCTTACAGCGCTTAACAGTATCATTCGAAATGATGTTGTCGACCCGGCCACTAGGGCAAGGATTCGAGAAAGAGTGCCTCACGACTCTACCACTGTTGATTCTAGGAATGGAGATACTGAACCTGTCACGATGACGAACGCTGGTCTTGTTCCAAACTTCAGCTACCCAATCGCTGGAAGTGCGTTTCATGATCGCCTTCATGCTGAGCAGACGCCTCCATCGCAGTCAGTAGAGGATCTTAGGGGGAGTGAAGAGCAGCAGCAGCCGCTAACAAATGGTGTTAGTTCTGGACATCACAGCGATTCAAGTTCAAGCCACACTCTCTATCGCTCTCCTACGCCCGATAACTGGCCATTGCGAGGAGGCAGTGGCGAGAGCCCAGCTCTACTAACAAATGGTGTACATCCAGGCTACTATCCCCCATCAAGCTCTAGCGGGGACTCCAGTCATGCTGCCCTCCACTACCCACCTGCGCTTCCCGACAACGTGCCAGAGCACGTCTTCAACCTCCTCTGTTCGCTGCTAACACCTTCCGAGCTCGCCCTCCACTACGACGTCGTCCAAGACTCGGCACCTCCGCATCTACCACCATTCCCTGCACTTGTGCCGCCCAGTAATGCCGCGTCAGATATTCCAATAGTAGTGCGTCTTGTCCAAAGGTTACATGCTGCTGTCTACGGTCTGCAAGATCGCGTCTGGGGCCTAGAAGAAGATCTCATTCCGCAGCTCAGCACGCAGCTCGAAGAGAACCACCTCCAGATCAGAGAACTCGATCGAGAAAACAGTAGTTTACAGGACGAGATCACCGAGCTAAAGCGCATAGCAGATTTCAGCACTAAAGTTCTGACTGGATGCTGGGAGCGCGAATGGGAGGTCTGGCGCACACTCCTCGACATTCAGAAAAGACGTGAGACATACCGCAGTCCTTTGGCGTGCATCTTCTCGCGCACTCCGACTCCCAGTGTCCAAGACGACGGGCTTTTAGAATTCTGTAAGCCAGAAGGCTATGTCGCCCCGCCTCTGCCGACTGGAAAAGTAACGCAGGGCTCTCTTAAGAGGAAGGAACTCGATACTCTTCTGCTGATGGCAAAACAGAATGTTACTATACTCATTGAGGATTTGGGGGAGTTGAAGGCGTTGGCGGAGGCGTATGACAGGAGGAATGAGGCACAGCAGGAGGTGCGGCCTGTCGAAGGGTCGCGGAGGAATGTTTGATGATATGTGTGGATTGGTAAAATGAACGTAGCACCCTGGCATTTCGATCCCATTTGAAGTACCGACTACAAATGTAACCCTGTTCTTCAGATGCAACCATTGAAGTACTGATTGTTGAAGGTTGACCGTTAGGGAAGTGGCTGGGGTCCTCCCCGCCTTCGCGCTGAACTTCAGCTCTGACGCGCCTACCATCCTTGGCTCCTACACTGCGCGCACTCACAGCCATTGGCCATATGCATTCATCACTGACCACTTGCCATGGCTGAGGTCGTTGGTACAGTTGCATCTGTCGCTCAGCTTGTCCAACTGAGCGGTGCCCTACTCGCCGGCGGCTACAACTTCCTATCGAAGGTCGCGCGAGCGCCCAGCGAGATCCGGAGTCTCCTGACGGAAACCGCGGCCGTCAACAGCCTTCTCGCGCAATTACAGCAAATAGCAGATACATCGCCCAAGGCAGCTTCAGAAGATGCGCTGCAGGCTCTTGAACGTGTTGGTGTCTTTCAAGAATGTCAGTCAACGCTCAAGTCGATCGAGCGGGCGCTGGCAAAATGCGAGCAGGTCAATGGTCAAGATGCAAAGAACTTTGGAAGGAAACTGATGTGGCCTTTCAAAGAGAAAGAAACCAAAGACGCTCTGCAGAGGCTTCATCACATGCGCGGGTTGCTTGCGAATGCTATCGAGGCCAACTCTGCGTGAGTATGCATGATTTCTGATCAGTAACTGGCCTGAACGTTCCACAGATCGGCAATTCGGCGCATCGAAGTAGGGCAAGGCCTCATATCAGACGAGATGAAGAATATGTCTGAGCAGCTCCGTGCGCAGATGAGTCGTGAGGAGACACAGAAGGTAATATCGTGGGTCTGTCCAACGCCGTCCGATGGTGCGCATGCCAGTCTTGCGAGCGCCATGAGTCGCCATATTCCTGGTACCGGAGATTGGCTCTTGCAATCCAAAGAGTTTCAAGATTGGAAAGACTCAGAAGATGGCACCATGTGGATTACTGGTCTTCCTGGAGCAGGCAAAACGCTCCTCTGCGCATCTATCATTCGACACATTCAACGGCTTTGTACGGATACCGCCGCAGTTTTATACTTCTTCTGCGATCATCGCGATCGCGCGAAACTGACACACGAGAATTTTGCTTCAAGTGTTGCGAGACAAATGATGGAAGCTTCACCTTTGTGTCTCGAACAAGGCAGATTACTCTACAACGAGAAATCTAAGGAAGGCAGTCGGCCTTTCCAAAGCGACGATTGCTTTCCACTGATCTGCTCATCTGCGGAACATCTAAAGAATGTTTTTATCATCCTAGACGCGCTCGATGAGTCCACTGAGGGTGATAGCATAGCCCGAAGTCTTGCGAGATTTCACGAGTCGCAGAAAGGCGCAGGGTGCCGTATCAGGATCCTTTTGACGAGCCGATTTGATGCTCTTATTCAGGGACGATATCCAACCCTTGCCACGACACATGTCATTCTTGCAGAGAACATGCGTCCCGACATCCAGCATTACGTCGCGGAAGAACTTCAAGTGCGTGTTGCAAAAGGTGTGCTCAAAGTTAAGAACAAAGACATCTTGTCCTCGATGCGACAACAGATCGTCCTCTGTGCGGGCACGTAAGTCTCCTACGTCTCGCGTTGTCTGGTCCTCCACCTAGCTCCACGGCTTTTCATCGACCCGTCATAATAAATTACTAATACAATGCAGGATGCTACAGGCACGTCTGACGATCGACTATGTTTGTACGGCGAAGTCAGATAAGGAGATCAAAATCATCTTGCAAAATTTACCGAATGGGCTCGGACACACGTACGAAGCACTTTTGTGCGACATCGCGACGCGGTGCCCAACAAGGGTTGAAGAGGTACAAAAGTTGTTCCGGTGTCTTATTGCTGCTGCGACACCATTGACCGCTCCCGAACTAGCGGAGATCTTGGCCATGCAACCCGATGAGCGCGACCTGGATCATGATGCCGTGGTCACAGATCCTTACGACGCTTTGGAACCTATCTCCACACTCATACGGATTGAAAGTTCCGAAGATCAGCGCAGTGTGATAAGACTCTGCCATTTTACCCTAGAGCAATATCTTACCTCTACTACTATCCAAGAAAGTCCGGCTAGTCTATTCTATGTGTCTGATAGCGAGGCAGAAGCATGGATGGCCGATATATGCCTTCAGCACCTCACCATGGATACCTTCAATGCGCCACTAGAGTACGGCCTAGATCTGGATCTTGATCAAGATTATGCATTTCGCACGTACGCTGCACTCAACTGGTTCAATCATGCAAGCGCTTCAGTATGTCGCTTACATCTATATGATCCGTCCCGTCCTGCTCTTGGCAGGTTCCTGGACGCCGAGGAGGGACCGCCTTGCTACAAGAGATGGCAGAGTCTGATTGCGAAGATCTTGCCCAATGCCGAATTTCTCGACTATTCGCCAACATGTATGTGCATCTGGGCCGAGTTGCATGTTACTGCAAGGGAGTTGTGCCAACGGCTACCAAACATGGACTACCATTTCGAAAATGGCCTCACCTGTCTCACAGTCGCCGCAAAGGGATACGACCAGTATCTGGTCACATATCTGTTAGAACATGGCGCGAAGGTAGACGAGCCAACTCGCGAATTGGGACAGTTCAAAGCGTTGACTCCATTGCATTTCGCGGTCGAATGGTGTGCGGAAGGGGTAGTGGATCTTCTACTAAACCATGGTGCTGATCCACACAGACCTTCGGCATCAGGCGCTACCCCGTTCTATCGAGCCTGTCGTGGCGGAGACCTAGACATAATTAATCGACTCAAAGAGTGCGGATGCGATATCAACACCCGGACTTTGAGTAATTGGACGCCGATCTTCGAGGCAATTGAGCACGATCACGAAGACGTACTTCATCTCTTATTGGAGTGGCATGTTGATTTGTCGGTCGTTACGAACGAAGGCTTGACAGTACTGTCTTTCGCTAAAGTGCTCAAGAGAGAATCTATGCTGGAGAAGTTGAAGTACGCAGTAGCTGAATCGGGGATTACCCTCCCTCAAAACCCACTCGAAGACTGGGAAGGTCGTTGTGAAGAGGATTGATCGGCCAAAGCACGAAGTCATCCTGTAGCATGCTTCAAAGCTATGTCAATATAGAACCTGTTCGTTCTCTCCGGCATCTTCACCACGGTCAAGATCTTATCATGCTGAGTGCCATTACCTCATTCAAAGAGCAAATTGAACATGTGAGTGGAGAGTTACATCGGCGGACATATCGACCGTTAGGGTGAAGCAAGAACCTTCGCTGGTGCCACGTACGCTTGCAAGTCCGAACGGACGCGTTCGTCGCACAAACGAAGAAACATGGCAGTAAACAGTATCACGAAATCGCTGTCGCAGCGAATCGGTCGACGTAATGCATGTCTCCAGCGGGTATATTGACCGATTCTTGGTTGGGCCGTGGCTGGAAGCGTGGCTGAGGTGGCTGTGCTGTGTAGGGGTCCAGTTCACAACCCATGTCACTTGCGTGCTCGATGTCCCACCCCTCGGTCATCCCGTGTCCGATCGCACTTGCTCTATTCGCCCACGCCCACTCGATAGCTACCCCTCCAACTCTCCAGACGTGTCCGAACAAAGTGTAACCACGATCAGCCACCGCATTAATCCCGCAATTTCAGCTTCGGTGCATCCACGGTAATACTACAGGAGTTGGTGAGGTCGTTCTATGCTGTAACAGGCCACATCAAACTCTCTCATCCTTCCTGGACTAATTCTTTGCGGTGGCTTTGCGGTGCCACGATGAAGATTCAATCACTCACCATGACACTTTTGGTGATGAGCTGCCGCTGAACCAAGGCACATCCGGACTTTGCCGAGATCTAGAGCGGTCCGAATGTACGGCTCAGCTTCACAGGGGTCACAGCGATAGTAATACAGCATAGGCGGGATGAACAACACCAAACCTGCTTTCGGCATTGCGGGGTGATGGAGGGGTACGCTGCCCTCGAGAGGACGCATATAAAGAGGAGGAGGCCTGCCACGATAGTCAGTGTTCAGCAAACAGCAAGTAACTTCTCTACCAAATATTCCAACCCTTCAGAGTCTTTCACTCAAACACATCTCTATCAACATGTCTTACAACGACAACGACCGCGAGGATCGTACCTCAGGCTACGGTAGCAGCAACCGTGAGGACAACGAGTACGGCTCGAAGTCTTCCGGATATGGAAACGACCAGGACTCGTCCTACGACAACAAGAAGTCTAGCTATGGGTCGAATGACAACGACAGCACTTCGTACGGTTCCTCCAACCGTAAGAATGATGACGACGATACCTACGGGTCCGAGAAGAAGTCAAGCTACGGCTCTTCAGACCGCAACGACGACTCTTATGGGTCTGGCAACAAGTCCTCCGGATACGGCTCCTCGAACCGCAACGACAACGACGAGGACTCCTATGGTAGCAACAAGCAGTCTAGCTATGGCTCCTCCGACCGCAAGGACAGTGACGACACTTACGGTTCCGAGAACAAATCATCGAGCTATGGCTCATCGAACCGTAACGACAACGATGAAGACTCGTACGGCAGCAACAAGAAGTCCAGCTACGGTTCTTCGGACCGCAACGACAACGACAACAATGATTCCTCGTACGGCAGCAACAAACAGTCCAGCTACGGTTCTTCGGACCGTACTGATGACAACGACTCATATGGTAGCAAGAACCAGTCGAGCTACGGCTCATCGAACCGCAAGGACGATGATGACTCGTACGGCTCGTCCAACCGCAAGACGGACAGCGACAGCTACGGCTCCAGCAACAAGTCCTCCGGTAGCTTTGGGGCTTCTGAAGAAACTTCGTATGGTTCTGGCAACACTTCTTCTGGGTATGGAGGCTCTTCGGGCCGTGACGACAATGACTCGTACGGAAGCTCTGGGCGCAAGAACGAAGACAGCTACGGCTCCAACGACCGCGAGAGCTCGGGATATGGTAGCTCAAACAAGAGAAGCGATGACTACTAAAGGCCGGTGTAATACCATGACGGTCGGTAGATTCGGTATGGCCGCTCATAGCTGCAAATCGTGGCTTGGCTCCCGTAGTGCAGTTTTTGCGCCGAGGCTACTATAGTATGTTTATAGAAATGCAAACCAATTGTACCCTAAAGACCCTGACCGCCAATCGATGAATCGCGTGACGTGACATAACATGCGAGCCCAGACAGCGCAGATGTTACTGTAACACTAGCGCGAATCATGACAGGGAAGCTTGCCGCGTGGTGTACGTCACTAGCGGGGCAATCTCATGCTGGGAGGGGCCCAGAGCTATAGCTGCCAGTCTGTCACTTGAAGCCTACATCCCCTTAAACACACATCAACGCATACACACTTTGTCAACACTCAACTCATTCACTTTTCTACTCACCACACATTGTAAGTCTTTCACTCTCGTAGGCATTGATCAGCTGCGAGCTTGGATGCTCGCCTCGGTCTAATGAAGCTTGGCTGCTCCTAAACATCGGAGCAAGCTTCTGGTGAAGCGTTCTGAACGTTCGTCAGACTGGCAAGCATCGACGCTACGCTTCATAGTTACATCGGCACTTCCAGAGTAGTGCAGCTTGGCGCATCGATTGCTAACACGTATATAGGCTCCCAACCCTACAAAATGTCCTACAACGACGACCGCCGCGAGTACGGCCAAGAGTCTGGCTACGGTGGCCGGGGAGACGACCGCCGCGGAAACGAACAGGGCGGATACGGCGGTGGCGGTGAACGCCGCGAAGAATACGGCCGTCCCCAGGAGGGAGGCTTCGGAGGACCTGCTCTTGGCGACGAAGAGAGGAGGGGCGGCGGTGGAGGTGGCTATGGCTCCTCAGGTGGTTACGGTGGGGGTGGTGAGCGCAGAGAAGAACATGGAAGACCACAGGAAGGCGGCTACGGGGGTCCTGCGCTAGGTGATGACAGACGCGAAGACCACGGTGGACGACGACAAGAGGGTGGGGGAGGATATGGCGGTGACCGCCCCAGTGGAGGTTACTCGGGTGGCGGAGGATATGGAGACGAAAGCCGCCAGGAGTCACGTCCAAGCGGTGGCTACTCAGGCGGCGGCGACAACTACAATGACCGTCCGTCTGGAGGCAGCAGCTACAACGATCGCCCATCCGGAGGCAGCAATTACAACGACCGCCCATCCGGAGGTGACAGCTACAATGACCGCCCATCAGGTGGCAGCTATGGAGGAGGTAACTCGGGAGGCTACGGCGGATCCGGTCACCATGAAGGCCAACAATCTTCTGGCACATCCTACGGCGGTGGCGGCGGCTACGGCGGCAGCTCAGATGATTTTTCCGGTGCAGCCCAGCACGCATCAAGCGAGTCTGGAAACAGCGGCGACAACGACCTCTTCAGCAATGTCCTCGGCATGCTGTCCGGCAAGAAGGACAAGCTCAAGGATGAGGATGTTGACGAGGACGACGCTGTCAAACAGCACGAGAAGTTCTACGGTAGCGGTGGCCACGGCGGTAGCGAGCAAGCCAGCTCAAACAACGTCGGAGCTGCTGCTGCGATGCAAGCCATGAAGATGTTCAACAACAGCAGCAACGAGGATGCCAAGGGCGGGCAGAACAAGTTCATCGGCAT